TATATTCTTTTATCTATTTTTCTGTTCTTTTACTAAATTTCAATCTGTCGTAAATATAATCTCAAATTTTTTTCTTCTTTAAATAATCAAGTTTTCTTATCTTAATCCTTTGATAAATTAAGAATATTCTCTGACATGTAAGGTATAATGGTTCTCTGATACTTTGATATCATTATCTAGGATAATAATTCTAGATTTCTTAGTTTTAGAATGATTTTGCTTATATCAAATTCAGATTCAAGTTTAGACTTGCCTTGTTTGAATAATTTCAGCTGATTAATTACATTTTTATATTTATCAGATGCTTTTGTCCTACAGAGTAAAAATTTTGAGAATTAAGTCCTAAAGTAATCCATTTTAAAAGGCTTGAGGTTTATGATATATTCCCAGATTTGATCTGTTCTTCTAAATCTTCATATAAATAATTAAGTCAATATTTACCTTGTTGAATCATCATTTAAAAAATCCCATTAGTAATCGTTTTCATCTAAAGATTATTACTATCTTGAATTTGAATATTCCTTATTTGAATCTTAATTAGCTATTTTTGCAATATTGCATGAGTCATCTAGTTGGCCTAAGTCTACAAAAGTAGTATCACTTCTTTCCTTCAGCGATTTTTCTTTCTTGCTTTCATCTAAAGTCAAGAATGATTTTTTTAGTAAACTTGAATAAAATAACTATGCTTGAATACTTCCGATAATCATTTAAGCTGCTGTAAATATGATACTCATAAATCCACCAGTATTAGTAATAGCATCTAAAATAGTAAATGTCTATCTTGTTACTGACTCTATTTTTTCATCTTCGTTAAATGAAATTCTAGCTAATTCTTAATTGCCAGTTTCAAACCTTTATGTTAAGGTATAGGCCAAATTAACAGAGATGAAATTTAATTGCTCTTAATTTAAAGAATTAGTAACATAAGAATCCTGAAGCTCAACTTCATTCTTTTGTATTTTGAAAACAATATCACTCCTTTCTTTAGCATTCAGAGAGAAGAAAATCTCAGAGTCAATTAACTAAATAGGCTTCTCATAATCATTTTGCTGAAAATTTTGATAGGTATAGAGTACATTAACTATTGTGTTAGTTATGAAATTTTCTATCTCAGTTTCATTCTTGCATTCGAGGTTTCAATTTGGAAATTACTAATTAAGAATCATTTGATCACACTTTAAAATTTTTACATCTAGAGCAACTTAATCATTAGAATAAGTTGTTCCATAGATACTAATTTCCTCATCTGTAATCAGGCAAAGCATATTTCTTATTGTTGTCTCATCATAATCATAGGTATTCTTGCAAGTTTAAAATTGAATAGTTTTATTCAAATCCACATTATTGCTTGAATATTTTTCTAATATAGCCTAAACTGAGATATACTCTAGAAAATCTATGTCTAATGGTCTGTAATTTGGATCTAGAAATATAAGTTGAATTGCAAAGTTTGAACTATTCAACTTAATTGGATCTTTGAATCAATCATAAGTTAAATCTTGAAATTTAGATGATTTTGAAATTGTACTTTTATCTCTTCTGAAGACAGTTACAAGTTATGATATGAAATATGCAAATATGATTCCTTATGCAATCAGAGATAGGTAATACATCTATAATATTATTAAAGATTGATTGATAATTAATATTATAATTTAGTAATATTTAAGTCAAAGCTCCTTCATGATATGTATAATTTAATTAAAATAAAATCTAAAGATCTTAAATGAAGAAGTTTATTACAATTGTCGGAGCTATCTTAGTAGGAACTGTTGCTGCTACTCAAATCACAACTGAAGAGAAGGTAGTTGATGGACTTATCCATGGACTTTAAGCTGCTTAGAAAGATGTATAAATCATCAAGGGTCAACTTTAAAGCATTGCACATAGAAGAAGAGCAAGATCAGTCGATTAAACTCCCAATGTTGAGGCTTAAAGCAATCTATTAGAGTATATAAAATCCCTAGATATCAAACCAAGACCCATAACAACTAGAGATATTGAATTGCAAGAATATAGAGATCCATGTGATTACATCAGATAATGCTTACCAAAAGAATTTAGAAATAATCAACCAAAAGTAGAAGGCTTTTTCGGTTTTGGAGAATCTGTGGTGTCTCATGATTTAAGAGGTATAGATTTTGGAATTTAAAATGCTATCTAAACGCCACATGTTGAAGGCTTCTTAAGTGGATTACACGAATTAACTGGCATCGCTGGTGATCTTACAGGATTAGGTCTTGGAATCTATAGCGCTGTTCACCCAAATGTTCAAGCTTCAATCATGGAATAAAAGCCTCTATACTACAGCTATGCTTAATATCTTAGCCCTAAAGTTTAGATGTGGGATGACGCAACCCTAGCTGCCTATAACCTTCGTTTCGGCAATGTTATCTATCCACATTAATGAACTAGAGGATGATTGTTTAACTATATAAATCAAATTGTAAAACCCACAATATTTCTTAATGAATTAAAAATACTAAATTTCTTAAACTTTATTATCATGAAATTGTACATTATTAGGGGTTTTGGGGTTTTGGGGTTTTGGGG